GAGGTTGGGACTTTTTAGTCTAGTCCAGGAAGAGTGCCGCATGCTATGGGGACAGTACAGGGAGGAGCGCAGGTAAGGATAGACCTAAATCAGAAGCAGCAGGCAGAAACAGAGAAATGGGAAAATAGAACACGGGTAAAAACAGACTCTAAAAAAATTAGATCCCTTTCTGCCTATTTCTGACCATCAGTTTAAATGCCCAAAATAAGTGCTCTGGAATAATTAATAGACTAGCTCCTAACTTCTGTGTCATTCCCCGCACCACTCCCCCCCCCCCCGCAAACTCTGATGCATTTGCTAGGTCTTTGCTTTTTCAGCTGCAGTATTCGGTGTTTGTGTGTACAAAATGGGCAGTTTTGAAGCCTTCCTTGATATCTTAAGGGGTGACTATAAACATAATGTTTCACTTGCACTGATTCAGTTACAGCAGGTGTGTCAAAGATACAACCTGCAGGCTGGATCTGGCCCATGGAGCCCTATGATCTAGCCTGTGGGTCGTTGACCCCATGCACCACAAGCAGCATGCACTGGCTTAGCCCCACTCACTGCATGCAATGCAGAGTCAGTCTGGTGCAGACTGTATGCAGTGCCTGTGCTGGACAGGCCCTGCATGCAAGCTCTGGAGCTGGATCAGGCCCCGACCCTCCCTGTGTATTGGAGCGAGCGTACAGGACCAGTCCAGCATGGGCACCATGTGCCCAGTGCCAGCCCTACATGCCTCATGCAGAGTGACCGGGGCCAGCATATGCTGCATGCAACATGCTGGGATGGATGTTACTTGTGTGATCCAGGGTGCACACTGCATGTGGCACTGCACTGCATCAGCTCTGAGCACTGGTTTTGGTGCCCCTCCAGATTGGTGTCCTGTTCCAGTGTGTGCTGCACTCAGCACACAGGTATGGTCTGGTATGTGCATTGCATTAGCTGTATGCACTGGACGGGCCTCGTGTGCTGGCTCTGGTGCACAGGGCCAATCTGAGTTCAGTGCAGCCTGAGACCAGCCCTGTGCCCCTCATCTCTGTCAGCATTTCCAAAACTCTGGGGCATGCCCCCTGGTGGGATGCAAATGGTTCCTAGGGGGAAGCACATGCGACTCTCAGCTGCAATCAGCGATTGCTCCCGTACCAGCCATTGATTTCTCTCAGCCCCTGTACTTCATCTCTCACCAGGCATCTCCAGTGAGTGGAACAGGAGGATGGGTTTGCGGTTGAGGAAGCTGCAGCAGTTGGAACCTGCAGGATGCAAAAGTGGCAAAGGCAGCAGTGGGAGTGGAGTTAAACCACAACAGTACAGAATGCTTATATTCTGTCACGCCTTTCCCGGGACAAAGAGTGCTTTACAGATGTTGAGTTTTGTTGGAGATGTCCAAAGGAAGGCTGAACTGTATTCCCAATATCTGGAGAGCAAAGGAGCAAGAAGACTAGAAGCACTGTGGTGTGGACAAACTAGAACAGCATTGCAGTGCCAGCCCTGTTTGTACGGGCAGCTCTGGTCAGCAGTTTAGACAGGAGGCTGTTTGCTTGTGGGATTGCAACTCTTTTCCTGCACCCAGTGCTACTGGCCAGTGCTCTCAAGTGGCTCATGGCAGAAATCTAGCTTGCAGTAGTGAAAATGGTTGGCTATTACAGCAACAAGGGCCCCACAGCACAGGAGCAGAAGTGATGACATCCGGGACCTCAGGATGCAACAGGAGCCAGCCAGGAACCGCAGGGGCTCGGCCAGGTGGGCTCCATGCCACGCTCTACAGTCCCGCCCTTGCAGCTGGGAACCAAGGGGGTCGGATGGGCTCCTGCTGCGTTCTACGGTCCTAGCCACCACATGGTGCTGGAGCCAGCCTGGCCCAGCCCTTGCGGTTCCTAGCTAACTCCCTCTGCGTCCTGAGGTCCCAGATGTGCTGCCGGGCTGGCTCTGGCTGCATGCGGCGTCACATTAGAGTGCCAAAAGCCACGGAAAGTCCTGCACTCTCAGGCTGGGCTGGCTCCGTGCCTCCCCGTGGTGCTCCTGACACTTGTAGCTGGGAGTGGCACATGGAGGCACGAAGCCAAAGTCCTGTGAGCTCCATGCAGCAGAGCGATCACCAGCAGGGTATGTGTGTGTGCATCCCTGTTCTTACCTGAGTTTCCACTCTCGGACTGAGGGAGAGCGGGGGAACAGCAACAGGGTCCCAGGCCACAAGTCTCTGCTAGGCAGAAGCTTCTGGTGGGGGCTGGGAGTAGGGTAGGGTAGGGTGTGGGAGTGCTGGGTGGGCCTTGCTGCTAGGTCCTGCTGCTGGGTCCTCCCGCCCACCACTGGCACTTCATTAGCTTTTAGATAGGCAGCCACCAGGAGGTAATAATTTACTAAATTTTAGAGGAACCCCGCAAACCAGATAGAATGGCCGGATGGACCAGATCTGGCCCGCAGGCTGGATTTTCTTCGCCCCTATGATAGGTCCTTAATGCTCCTTTCTTTATCAGTGTTGAGACACCCTGTTGCCAGCTGACAAAGTGAGGGATTCACACCTGCACAAAATCCATCTGACTGTTTCCATTTCTAAGGCTGACACTGATGTAATCAAAACAAGGGTTTCTGCTTTAGGTTTCAAAGTCCTCTCAGTAAAAGTCTGCATATGGCAGCTTGGCATGCAAGTGAAACCACTTTCCAGAGTTGCGTAAGTGCTTTATATCCACTGCAGTGTGTCAGTAAAGCCTTTGTAGATGCTTAGGAGCTATACTGAAACCAACTGTTCCCACAGAATTGAACATTTAATTTTTTACATCTTCTGCTTTGTGGGGATCACTGTGACTGGAAGCTCCCTCCCCACACATGCATAGTCCCCCACTTGAATAGCCTACCATGTTTTGAAACACTTCTTTTCCTACTAGGTAACCTTGGCAAACCTGCAGGCATGGCTGCAGCCCAACCTCATGCTTCGAAGGTGCCTGTTTTGCAGTCTCCCCATCTCACAGTTCTTGACAAACACTTTCCTACTGTCCTTCCACTCAATCCCAGTAATTCTTGAAGTTAGCATTGATGGATGGACACAGCGGTCCAAAAAGGAGGTCTCCATTTCCTTGGTGATGCAGTATGAGTACAAATGCAGCATTTCTGAAGGAATTGAGCCGGTTTATGTAGAAGATGCATAGGAGAGGCAGAAATCGAGGTACAGCAGTGGTGAGTTCAAGGTGAGGCACAGGAGAAGGAAATCCAGAAGACTTTACCAAGAGACAAAGGAGACTAGGAGAACGTCCCTTGCTCTCACCAGAGGCGCTGCTACTAGTTAAAATATAATGCTAAAGGGAGTAGGAACCACTGATTTAACACAGGGAAGAACTGCACAGTGATAACTTGCTCTTTGTGGAATGGGGGATGCGGACAATGCGGTGCCCAGAGATAGGCATGAGACAAGCTCATAGAAACTACTATTGCCTGTAATTAGTCCTTACTAGGC